CATCCACAAGCTACAGGCCATCATCCGAGAGGTTTTGGATACCGGCGTCCTCGACCCCCGGCGGCACAGCGCTTGTCCGGCAAGCTCGGCTTCCTCGCCCAGGCTGTGTTCGGCGCAGTGGGGCGGGCGGCCATCCAGCCCATCCACAAAAGTAGGGCGGCGCAGGAACCTCACGCCGAAGCTGGTCGACGCACTGCTCGCGTCGGCGGCGCTCCTGGATCATATCCAGCCAAGGTTTATACCATATGGCGCGCCCAAGTCGACCCAGGCGACCATCTTCGCAGACGCATTCTTCGTCGACCACGGCCGCAGAATCAAGGCGGGGCACGTCCCCGACGACGCAGGCAGGCGCCAGTGCCAAAGCCGTCGCAATGGTTGGGGCTACGTCGTGCAGATCGGCAGCCAGGTCTTCTACGACTTCGGCGAGGCCCCGGCGTGGTTCCTCGACGTGTTCGCGGAGCGCAGGGCCTTTATCTACGCCCTGGAGATCCTCGCACAGGTCCTCGCCATTGCCGCCTTCGCCGCCCGGCTTCCGCGGCTCTGGACGGCTTACATCGACAACGTCGCCGGCCAGTGCGCCCTGACCAAGGGCTACGGCAACAACGGCGCCGTCAACGGCATGGTGGCAGCCATGTGGGGGCTCGCCGCCACACAAGCATGGGCACCCCACTTCGAACGGGTGCCGTCGGCCGACAACATCTCCGACGCCCTCTCCCGCGGCGACGAGGCAGAGGCCCGGGAGAGGGGATGGACCAGAGTACACACTCGACAGGACGAGATCCTCCAGATCCTCTACCAGGCCGGCGCCTCGACGCAGTATGCCACCGCCTCAGTTGATCGACATCGCCTTTTGAGTGCCGTCGCTTTTTGGGGGGTGGGGGCGCCGGGCGGGTGCTGAATGCGCCCCCGCTCCGGCTGTGTCGGCGATGGATCCGCGACCGACGGATGCGTCGGATTCGCACCTTGGAAAATGGGATCCTGCTAACCATTTCCTCGCATGCCATTTTGCGGCGTAGTTCGCCGGAGCATGTTTCACTGTCAAACAGCCGCATCGAATCTGCTGCGGGTTCGATTTTATGACTTAGCAGCGAGGCACCTCCATACGGGATGGCAGTTTTTTGCTAAGAGATTGCATATCAGCAAACACCGTGTAAACTGCACTTCGTTGGCCAAGGCTTCCAGCAGTGACGGCCTTGGTAGTTTGCTGATCGTGTTTGCATGGAGTTGAGCCCAAGGTTGGGCTGGGAGTATGAGCAGTGCTTTTGAGCCAGGCATGTTCTTGGAAAACAGTCCATGCCCAGGCCCGGATTCCAAAACCGCTACTACCAGGCGGCACCTGCTTTTCGCGAGTTCCATCGAATGGGAGGGAGGTACTTGCTAAGCTCAACACTGAATCAGAAAGGCTGATTTGCACTGGTCATGAAACCTGGTCACGCTCTGCTTGGTGCTTCGATGCAATTTCAGTCTTTGAGAGCAGCACCAGCATTCTGTCATCTTTGAGCATTGAGGAGTTCTTCCGGCACAAAACTCAGCAAATCACACGTGGTGAAGTGCTGTCAAGATCTGTGGAGGCCAGCGGCTACCAGGGCTCACGGGTCTTGGAGCACAATCAAACTACACCTGATCGCCGGCTGCTTAGAAGCACGGCACTGTTTCTAGGGTTTTTTTAGCCCTTCTTTTGATAAACCTTCGCAAATGTTGGGCCCACTCCAGGGCGCTTCGACCAGTACATCGAGGCTGGCGGTTTTGGTTGGCTGAGGCTAAGGTGTTGGCACAGGCGCCCCGGTGGAAGGATTGGATACTCGCAGGGGATGACTTGCGTAGGTTGTGGCTAAGATCAAAAACCCTGTGCCTTTGAGACGCCCCGAGGTAGCACCAGCACGCATTTAGCCACTGAACCTTACGTAGGTTCTATGGCCATCCAATGCTGTGGTCGACCGCAATGGACAGTTGGAGCCTTAGGAAGATGAGAAGTGTGATGGAATATTCTGCGAGAGCCCCTGTGGGCTGTCTGCAGAAGAATCATCTTGCAAGGGCATATTATGCACGTTGGTGAGGATGATCACCGACTAATTGCTCTTGGGAGCTCCAGCACAGCCAATAGACTCCGTACAGCCAAACAGTCTTGACCCCAGTTCGTGCACCAAAGCTCCGCGCTTTTCTTCCAAAACGACAGGGTGACGGCCACAAGCGGCAAGTCTAGGTCATGTGCCTGAGGCTCCCCGAATCCTGCATAGCGATGAGATTCTTCATGCAAAGTCTCGAAACCCTGCAAAGCAATAAGGTGACCTAAAAGCGACAAGGATAAGGAACATTGGAAGGGTTGGGTCTGGGGTCTTGCCGCGGGCTCATCTGAGCCCTCAAGCTCTGAGGTAAGGCCCAACGTAGACGGTCTGGTGTAGTGTTGCCTGGAATGCTTGGCTTTGCAAGGACTGAGCATAGCACATAAAGCATGCGTTTCATCTGTTCAAATTGTTTTAATCAGATATCCGCCCCAGACGGCTAGAAACTGCTGGCTTTGGAGATTCGTCATTGCGGGGGCTCCGACTCAAAGGATGCGATCAAGCCCAAGCAAAGCCATAAAGCGACAGCTGAGCCTCAGGATTTGGTTGTCCGATCACCGCCACCACCAGGCCAGTTCTGATGACCTCCCCAAAGTGCCTGTCTACGCACCTTCGCGCCATCATCTCTCCTGACCCTGCTTCGCTGCCAGGTGGTGCTAGTGAAGGCCACGAGCCGCTACGTGAGCTGGCCGGCCTTCTATACGGAGCTTTGGGGGGCACGTTGCAGGGTTTGCAGCTCGAGCTTTTCCTTGGCAACCGACATTTTGGCGAGGAGTATGCTGGCGCGCGAGGCCTCCCTGGCCACGTGGACGGAAGCAGGCTCAAGGCTCGGCTGCCCCAAGATCAATGATGCACTCTCTTTTCTTTCCTCAACGTTGCGTGCGTGGTTTCGGGTTTGTAGAGAAAAGCTCTTGGAGGCGCGTTTCAACTCCCCCAAGGGCATCGTCATCACCATGGACCCAAGACGGGTGCCGGGCCAAGGGACTTGTGGGGCACCTCTCCCTGCAGCAGGGAGATATCCATGCAACACGCCTCTTATCTGTAGCTACAGGAGGATTACGTGAGGTGACCAGGTGAGATAGCATGGTCATGTATCCTTCACCCAGCAAACCCGTTCCTATCGCTGAAATTTTTTGTTGTTCATTTATGAGTGGGCTTCCTCCATTAATGCCAGTGACCCGCCAAACGCACTGAAATGTCTATGCCAGGGCTTGGGCTCACGATTAAGAGCTTGCACAACAGATTCCCACACAATCACTGTCACGCTTGCAGCCTTTGCGCCTCTACGTCGCGGACAGCGACTTGGCTGCACGGACGTTTGTCGCGTAGAGGATGGTGAGAAAGGTTGTTTTTGAAGTTTGCTCACCCATTCAGAAGGCTTGTTCGTCATTGGATTCCATCTTTTTTGCTCTCCTTGTAGCAAACGGTTTCAAAGGTGTGGCGAGTTGATGTAGTCGCTGGCAATCAAGAGTGGGGCTGATCAAGCTCTTCCTGACCTCCGTGCCACAAAGGAATGTATAAAAGTTCCCGTGGACATGCTGACATGCCGTTTACACAGCCATGCAGTGTTGGTGGTTCTTTTTTGAGGAGAAGACTGGTTCTTGTCTTCTTGAGAGGCATTGGTGACTTTCATTGTGGTGATTACTGTCGCGCAAGTCATCAGAGCAAAGGCTCTTCCTGTTGCCATGTGCATGACGCAGCATCTACAAAACTTGTGTGTAATGCTCACCTTATATTAAGAACCCCCCCCCCCTCCCCCCACCCTCCGGAGGATGTGGGCCCGAGCCTCGGTATTTAAGGCATCCAGGTCCATGAGCTGGAGCTCCAGTCGTCGTAGCCAATAGTAGTGCTAGCCAGCAGTACGCATTGCTCTTCCAGCGCTTCCAAAGTTTTCGTTTTGGCAGATTGGATTTTGCAATTGGGGGGGTTGTAATTACATTCTGGGACTTGGATTTTGCAATTACGCGGCGGCTTGTTAATATGAGGTCAACATCATTTTTGGTTGCCATTACGGCTCTTCATGAAAAGCATCTCGGAAAACTCGGAGCCAGGCAATTACTACCCCTAAACCCTAAATCCTAAACCTGAGTCTGCCCAAGTCCACTGTTCTGAGGTGGCAATCACTGCATCCGCGTCCTGAACTACGATTCGGGGCGTGTCGCTACGATAGCAGGCTGGGCCTTCACAGTTGGGGTCGATTCAGGACCAGATTTGGCGCTTGGCAATTGGACATTGTATCTTGTTGCTCTTCGTGGGAGCACCATCGATCAGGTCATTGAAGCCCTGTCCGCTTTTCCATCATTTGGGTTGGATGCTGCTTTCGATGCCCGCCAGATCAAGAAAATTAGCCACACGTGTCCTTGATCCTTGTTGATTGTCTGGCTGCTATTGCTGTGGTTGTTTTGCCTGCCGTTGCTCTGCTGAGCATCAACAAAGTGCACTTACATTTGTATCGTTTACCCTCAGTCCGCGAGGCTCGAAGGACACCAGAGGCTGGCGGGATGGGCCGCACCCCAAGCCAGCTTTTTTTGATTGGTGGCTTGCATGGGCCTGCATGGTCTGCGGGTGCTTTTCACGGGCAAAGGATCACATTCTGCTAATGAATTGAAGAGGCGGCCTAAAGTGCAGTGCCCCGTTTTATATTGGACAGACGTAGCATGCCTCATCTTTTGCTCATCGTTGCAAGCCTTCAGGGTGTAAAGGGCTCAGCTTCAAGCCCAAACCACTCCCCGGTCGAACCACCACCAAGAACAGGCATGGATCTCAGCAAAACTTCGCCCTCCCGCCCCGCCAAAAAAGAGAAAACAGTGAGCAGTCCAAATGATAGGTTTGTATGTACGGAAAACGGGGGATGCGCTCGAAGCACGTCTCTTTGCTTGTTGCAGCTGCTGGAGGCCAGGGCAGGAGGCGCAATTCGACGAGCCTTCGGGCTTGGGCATGGACTCTGAAGGCATAGTCATAATCGCAATTTGAGGGTTTCCACAACCAGAGGTTTCTTTGTAACCAGAGCAGGGACGCCTGTTTTTACCAATGTCCATTTGGGTTGTGCCGCTCGTGCGGTATCTTGCACTGTCACTGTCGCTTCGCGCACACTTCTCTGATCTTTATTGATGCACGGATCAGTTGACCCTGCAGGTCTCCATCTCTTTGTCCTTGACAACTTCCGGAGGCTGCCGTTCCTGTGGCTGAATCTTAATGCTCACATTGTCTCACACCTGGCCCTGAGAGGATCCGATACATTGAGCTCTATCTCAAGAAGAAGACGGCTCGGGCCCTGGGTTGTGCTGATTGGTTTCGGTGAGCATAGCTTGGAAAGCCGGGCACAGTTTGACAGGAAGTCAGGTCTGTTGCTGCGGACTTCTGCCCTTCTACCACCTGAAGATTCTGTTTTAAGAAGCCCTGCGTCACAGGAACCGAGGCAAAGCGAAGAGCAAAGCTGAGGTGACCACCCTTGTTGGCGGTGCCTGCCGGGCAGTGTCTCGGTGGACAGCCGGGCCCCTCAGAAGCTTCTGTTCTTTGAAAGTGCAGGCCATGTAGATGATGTAGATGATACGATGGCTTCCCATTTGCGACACGTCCGGAGGCAAACTCTATGTAGACTCTATTTGAGCATTTCTGTGTGAAGGACTACCATTCGATCATCCAGCGTCGGGTGGGCTGCCATCCAGCACCTGGGACTAAAACTTTAATGTTTAATGGAGGCTGCATATATCCCCGAAGCAACTCTGTCAAGCGGAGAGTTCCAGATATTTCAAGACCCGAAGCTGCAAACGGTCAGCAAACAAACCAAGCACGTGTAGCAAATGCGTACTGGGACGCGCTTTGTGAATATGCATCGAATGGTCAAGCGTGAATCGCTTGATACCGAAGCAAAGCAGAGCAAGCATGAGGGCATGGATTGGATGGTAGCAAGCAGCACCAAGTCCTCCATAGCTCTTGGAGTTCCCTTCATTCGGACTTATGGGCAGATTTTAAGTTCGTTCCTTTTCAAGAGCAATACCAAGCACGAGTATATACATGAAGCCGTATTAGCGGCTTTGTGTCGAGGCTTTTTTTGTAAACGTAGCCGCCTAGCGTGGAGCTTCACTCAGTTTTCAACTCCGGGATTGAGACTTCCATTGCAATGCCGCGAAGTCAAGACTTGGAGGACTGGAAGGCCACAGCTGCTGGGGAACCGGTCGGGAGCTTGGTGGCTAAACTTTCCAGTTTTCAATGTCTTGGCACTGTACGCAGGGCCACAATGACCCTGATACCAACAGGATTTGATAGCCGTGGTGATGCGTTTGCCCTCTAAAGATGAAAGACTTGGAACCTGGACCCCTGAGATGACTCATAGGTGAACGTCTTCGTCTCCGGTGAGGGTGTTTTCTTCTGTGCCGGGCACAAGGCAGCTTGGAGATTTGTTTAGAGTCACGGGTGCAGAGCATGGTCGAACAAGGGCTCGGCATTTGCCTCCTTATGCCTTCCGAGTGTTCTTCAAGCTGTGTACTGCAGGCCCACAAGGGGTATTGTAGAGCACGTCTCCTGCTAGTTTGACCAGAGAAGCACTGAGCAGTATCCGTGAGCCATGATTTGCTCGAGCACCCAGCCCCAAACCCCTAAATCAGTAAGCTTTCAGGTCACAGCTCACGAGCCTTCTTCAAACCTGAGACTAGGCCACCTGCGCACCTCGTGATCACCCTGGTTTGGCAGACCGCCTTGCGCCCCAGCTCCTCTCTGAGGTGCAGGGAGGGGACAGAATGCACAGCCGAGCTTTGCACGCTTTTCTTCTTCTTACTACTGCAAGTATTTATTTCCAGACTCCAGATTTCTGAGCTTGCACTGTTGCATCCAATCCAGCATAAAGCTACATGCACATCTCAGAGGGTCTGGCATAAGGAGATTTGTCGCACAGTGCCCTTTGAAAGCTGCAATCTGTGGATCCAGGCCACTTGCTTTAGGTCTGTCCATATCAGTGACACCTTTGGTCTACATTTGAAGTCTTCTTGCCAAACACATCTCCCCGGGCTATGCTTGCATTCACTGCTTCGACTGGACGTAGCCCATGTTTGCGCCACGAAATCTTCACAAGCCATTATGAACCGAGTGCAATCAAAGAGCAGTTTCCTGAGGTAAAGGGGTCGCTTGTAACTTCTCAATTTGGTTGCCGGTGACTTCTCAATTCTTGTCGTCGCTAAATTCAGAACAGTCGTCGTTTTCGGAGCTGTGATTCCTCGACGTTTGACAACATCCCAGCTCAGGCCAGTTTTCTGGGAACATATTCCTGCAACATTTCCCGGAAAAACAGGCTCCACCTGAAAACCGGCTTTCAATCGTTGAAACCATAGCCCCTGGCCCTATCAACCGCAATCCAATCCCTAACCCCCGAACCCCCGAAATCAACGTCCTCCAAACATAAAACTGCGAACGTTGGCCCCAAAAACGTTCCAGCTCAGGCCTAGTCCATCACTCCCAATCTCTAAACCCCTACCCCTAAATCATGAACCTAGCCCCAGCCTTAAAAATGAATCCTTGGACCCTACACCCCCCAAGTGCAGAACTGCCGTTGTTTTCGGAGCTGTCATTCCTTGACTCTTGACAGCTTGATGTCATGTGTGTGCTCTTCATAAAATGCGCAACTGTCGTCGTTTTCGGAGTTGGAGTTGAACCCACAGGAGTGAGTCACAAGTGACCTGAGGCGTTTTTGTTGAGAGTATCGCAACTCGCATGTGAGCCTCCTTTACAGAAGTCACCGGTGACACAAATGACGCACACAAGTGATCCTCATCCCGTTCCCTGCTGGTGTTACGTAGCTTCGATCAAGACTTCGGCTGCTCAACAAATCTAAGGTTTTGTGGGATGTAGTTGTGCAGTCTGCCTTATAAGGATCAGTTTTCAAAGCTCCCCGGCCAAGAAAGATAAACAGGGCAATAATGGTGAAAGCTTTGAGAGGCATATGCGCAGCAGCTGCTGGCGGGCGTTCCTCCAGAAGATCCTTACGACATGCCTCTGGTGTTGTCGGAGCCCAAACCTTTTTGCACGGCTTGGGCAGTATCAGCCCCTCAACATCAGTATCCATGGTAGTAACACTACCTTGGCAGCGGGAAGCAACAGCAGAGAACACCTCCAAACACTGTATTCTCGAACTGCGCAACTGAGCGAAGGCCAGATGCCAACGCGTGAGCGCGTCAGCGACTTATTCCGGGATTGCGTCATGTCGACCATATGATGATGAACTGTGCTTAGTTCTTGCTACAATTGCACGAGAATACAGACTCCATACCATCCACAACATTTTGTTGTATTTGTGCCCATCCCTATGATGTCCTGTGACTGTAGGTGTATAAGGTCATAATGTGTGTGGTTCAAGCTGCGCAGCCGAAGTATTCTATGCTTTCCTGATATCAGCCCGTTTTGGCAGAGCTGCCTTGGGATATTGCGCTAAGGCATCCAGTTCTGAATACTGTTGTGATAGCCCGTGGGCAGGTGCCACACCAGCTGGGTGTCACGATCAGTTAATGCTGATTCCAGTGTTCTCTCTTCTCCAGCAGCTTACAAAGATATGCTGCAGCTGTCATCATACACGTTATTCTTTGAAACTTCTCATGCGATGCCTTGGGGTCTATTCAGCGCGCAAGCGACGGTGGAGAAGAGAGTTTTCCAGTGGGAGTCCGAGCGTGCCAGATTCGGCGGATGTTCATTTGACTGGGCTGTTCAGGACCTATCTTGTACTATAGAAATTCCAGGCATTGTATTTCACCAAGTCCTTGTTCCTGTGCGATTCTACCAGCATCCACACATCTGCGTTTCGCACCTCCCACGTCATGCTGGCTGTTTCACACGCAAACACGATTCCATGGAGGCGGTCAGAAAAGTTAGGATGGTGGAGGACATTGGATGTCTTGAGGGAATGTTGTGTGGATACATGGGCAATACAGCATTGAAAGTCGGGGGTTGCAACTGCCCCATGCCCGTCAAGTACACACAGATACGCTTTCAACTGGCATTTTCCCCACATCCTTCAGCGTTTTTGTGATTTCTTTTCCATCTGTGTGCATTTGCCACCGCGCCGTTGCAGCTAAGCTGACAGTTCCGTGGTTGCTGTGGGTTTGTCTGCAAGCCGATTTCCTTGCTGCAGAATTTTTGTTCGAGTCCTTGGAGGTTTGGCCCGCAACCCAGGTCCACTCGGCCCGCAGCCATGAGCGTCGCTCAGACAAAACTAGGTCTCAGCACGATTGCAACCCGTAGCTGCATGATTTTGTATGTTTTTCATCTTGTCATGACGTGATCAAAGGTGACCTTTGTGCAGACTCCTGCTGCCCAGAAGCCCGTCAGAATTAGATTGATGCCTTTCCTCGGAAAACTGTTGAGTAGTTTCTGTCACATGCACGAGGCAATTTGGAGATTGTCTGGAAAGGCTCAAGGCTAGCTAAGTTTCTTCCTTGCGTTTCGTCTGACACGTCACGCGCATGACACGAATATAACGGACAGTGAGCAAAGCACCTTGAAGCTGCAGCATTGTCATGTGAAGGACAACTTAATCTCTGCGCTGAATCTGGACCGCCACCTGCATGTCTGGATGTTCCATCCTGTCACACCTGAGCTGTGACCCCAACTGCTTTACCTGTCTTAGCTTAATCCTTAACCTGGCTGATGTCAACGTAGAGTCCCTGGCAAAAAACTGAGGCATGTAAGGCATTCTGGTCAGCCCACCAGCAGCTAACAAGCTGCCCCGAGGTCTGTGGCTGCCCTCAGCCCTGTTCAGGGTGCGCCAGCCCTGCGTGGCGCTGAGGCTCCAAGCCAAGGCGCCGTCGCAACTGGCAAAGGCTTCAACAAGGATTAGAACGGCTTTCCTTTGTGGTACTTAACGCTGATATCAGGGCGCCAGGGCTCTACTGCGGCCGCCGTGGGCGCTGCTGCGCTCTGTCTGGGAGCCTCGCTGGCCCGCCGGGCGGGCGCTGAGGTGGGGTACAAGCAGCAGGGGTGCCGAGTACTGGGTTATCACCTTACAAGCTTCCTATCACTGAGGCCTCCGGACTAAGCAGCTTGCTCGGGTACATGTAGTGTGCTGTGCTGTGGACTGAGCGCCCCTGGCAGCCAAGACACCCGTACTCTGTTGTTGAGAGAGCCAGCATCGCATGAACATGCAGCCATGTAGCCAACGCCAGAAGCGCTCCGCCCGTGGTGCCCGGGTGGCTACCAAGGCACACTCTGCTTGCCGTGCTTGCTGTGGACTGGGTGGTGTTCGGGCTGGGGCCAGGTGTTTGATGTTTTTTTTGGCTTGTAGGATCCTGGTTCTGGGGACGGTACGCCTCTGACGGGCGGTGGTCCCCGCCGGATGCAAATTGAATTGACGTTCCGGATCTCTGTTGACCTGCTGGTTGACCCAAGTAAGACTCACACGAAGCGTTTCATGATCTCAGCAGGGGCTGTAGACCCCAAACCCTGCATTTCCAATGCATTTCGGGTTTGGGCTCGTAAAAGCCCCTACAGCAAGACAGGTTCAAACATGCCGCACATCCAAAAGGGGTTTTGTTCCTCCTCCTCCTCCTCATCATCATCATCATCATCGTAAGTCATCATCATCATCATCATCATCATCATCGTAAGTCATCATCATCATCATCATCGTCGTCGTCGTCGTTGTTGCCATAAGTGTCTCCGTCCTCACCATCACCATCACCGGCACCAGCACCAGCACTAGTGCCACCACTATCACCATCTCATCGTCATCATCATCATGATCATCATCATCGTCATCATCATCATCATCATCACCAGCATCACCATCATCATCATCATGATCAAATAAATGCCAGGTGAAGAACATCCAAGCCTGAGCAGGTATTGGCAGACAGCCAGTAGACTTTCAAGAAATGTGAAATCAGGTTCCAGTTTGTGCTCCTGCAAAGGCTTGAGAAAGCATTCCACATTCCACAGCCGGGCGCTTGGGTCTTCAATGTTTGTGCGAGCCAAGCACAGGCGCTGGGCTCCATTGAGCAGTTCAAAGTCTTCGGCCCTCCAGAGGAGCCTTGTTTTTCCCTGGCTTCAGCCCCAAAGTTAGAAGCAGCTTCTATCATGGGGAGGAGTTGGGGAAGAAGACTCTTGACCAGGATCCTTTCGTCATCGAGACGGACAAGGTCCTCGGTGTCGGCGGGCAGGGAACTGTGTACCTGTGCCACAAGCAGTGCCTCGAACTGCACGAGTTTGGCAGGGCCTGGCAGGGCCTCTAGGCTTGTTCATGCCCAAACGCCACATGCCATGTGCAAGCTTCCCAGGAGCACCCCCAATGTGAAGCATGCCGTGAAGACCATTCCCATCTGGCGCCTGCTGATGGACAGCTTTTGTAGGTTGTTTCTCTGTGCTGCCCCTCTTTACTCTGCCAGTCAAATGTGCGCACTCGATCTCGTCTGGCGTCCTCCAGCACGTGGCATCCGCTTGCCAGTTGGGCTGGTCTACTGTCTACACACTAAGCTAGCCTACGTTCCGCTCTCTGGAAGCCTTGCCCGTGCATGCTAGAAGGTTGGATGAAGAACGAACATGAGCACCGAGATCACGGCCTAGATCATCTTATGTTCAGTAAAGAGCAGGAACCTGCAAGTGTAACACAAACCCAAAGCCAAACCTAGCACTGGGTGGGCTCGGCAATTGTGTCCATTCGGCACAGGATTGAAGGGATCATGCAGAACTTCTAGGGCTTGTTCTAGTTACTGCATGTTGCTGCTAGTTGTCAGCTGGTGCTTACAGGTTTACGTAAGATGTTTCTTGGCAAATTCCATTCAGACAAACTGCAGATCCCCACGAGAGCATGAATCTTTCCGGCACATATTCCGATCTGTGCGATTTTTTAAAAGGACCCCTCCTGCGACGAGAAGATTGCCGACATCCGAAAGGAGACCGAGGCCAGGTTGCGGGCTGAGTCCTTGATTAACCTGAAGTAGCGCATGTACGTGGATAGGCATGCAGTGTTTGTACTGCCTTATGTGGGCTCAAGAGATCGGGATTGATTCGGGAATGCTTGGGTGGGCATTTATGCATATTGGGTTGTGTCACGGTTGTTGTTTCTTCTTGGGCATTGTCATGACAAGGTTCGCAGTATTTCCTTCCTTCCAGCCATAGGATTCGGAAATAGATCAAAAAAGAGCCGCTTGCCAGGTGCTCATGAAGATTCAGGGCCACCCCAACATTTGCTCTTGCCTGGGCTGCTTCGATGCTTACCGGCCAGGCACTTCTCAGGCCAGGGAAATGTCTTCGTCACTAGAGGAAAGAGCAAGCTCTGAGGGGTTTGTACCTGACATATTTCAGATTTTGTCGTGTATTTTGATAGAGGATTCATTTCAAAGTATTCCCGCCTCGGGGGCTTCTCACGGTGGCGGGAGGGAACTTTTGCAAGGAACGTGAGGAATGCTTTGCGCATCTTTGCGCTATGTCGTGGAACCAGGAGATACCTGGCTGAACTTGCGGTACACCGCTTGCGAGACGTCACCGGTGCTCTTGTCCGCGAACTTTTACTGGACGTATCTAGAACTCAAGAAGTGGAATGGGTTGGGGGGGTGGTTGACACTTGGCTGCTACACGGGTGCCGGGGATAACGCTTCTCTACTCTACTAGAAAGATTTCGAGGCCAAAATTCAGTAAGAGTGGTCTGCTTTATCCTCCTATTCGTGGGGACACATAAAACCTGGCACCGTTAACCGAGCTCTAGGTAAGTACTTCCAGCAAACAATCGCAGGCAAAAGCAAGCTTGATGTCTCGCAAGTGGTGTACACAAGACACACTGCAGAGCGTTCCTCAGGTTCGCTGCGAGCCTCACTTAGATGCTGGAGCGCTGTAGCCACACTAGCCGCATTTGCTTGCTAGGCTAGATGAAAGATGACGAAAACAAGATCGAACTTTAGTCCATGTCTAGCAGAGATTGGGGCAATCACTTGCATCTGATAATCTATTAAAGAGTTGAAAAGGCAGCAGTGCAGCTTCTCGGGGTCCAGGCAAGTTGGGGCGAGCTTCAGCGATCGGAGCAGAGAAAAGCTGTTGCGCCCAAAGCCTTGACCCACCTCCAAGCCTGAAACCCCTTCTGAAATCTTCGAAGAACGAACCCCCAGTCCCAAACCATTTCTGCCTTACGCTTGAAATTAAACAAGCTTGTTAGGGCAGGGGAGACGTCCCTGCGGGAGAGGGTAGTGATGAAAGCAAGCTTTACAGCATCCACGGCTGAGCAGCTGGGAACCACTGAACAGCGCTGCCTAATCTCAGAACTTGAAAGAGGCGCAGTACATCATGATCGTTATGGAGCTTGTCGATGGCGGAGAGCTTGCAAGTCTCTTGGCAGAACTTCTCATTCATCGTGTTCGGCTGAATCGAAAGCCTCGGGAGTTGTTCCAAAAAATCTTTAGCCTGGATGGTCGTTTCCCTGCGGATCCCACCAAAAGTGAAGGCAGAAACCAATCTGCCCGAATGAGGTTCGCACATCCAAGACTGGGGACCGGAAACAAGAGAAGAGCTGTTCGGTCCTGGTTTCGGATGCCTTCAGGTTTGTCCTCGGTCCTCCATGCGTTCTGGGCCCACCTGTTAGCACAGAATTTGGCGCCATGCATTTGCTAGCTTTCTCTGCGGCACTTTTCTTAGGTGGAGGGTTGTGTTCCAGGCTGTGTTCAGGATGGCACATTCGTAACGCGCATCTGCAAGAGTCAACTTTCTGTGGGCATGAGAAACTCATTCGGTCTTTCTGGGCAAAAGCTTACCCACGGCTTGGTCTCAAAACCCAACAACTGAGGGAGTCTATAGCATGATTTTGTCGTTTTTGCTTTCCATGCCAGTAAGTTTCAAAGGTGCAGTCGCTCTTTCTTTTGTTTTTTGCTGTTAACATTAAATAGCTCATTGCTTTCAGAACCTGCATAACTTGCATGCCTCACTGATGTACTGCAAGGCTACATCAAAGATGGCCAGAACTTCCTCCCAGAGGAGCTCTGGATTAGCTGCATGGGTCATGTCATGTGTTGAAATGGAATGCTTATGTAGGAATTTATTGCTGTGGCCCCTGGCTCACGAAATTTGTGTGGATAGGTCTTGAAACATGGGTCATCTTTGAAACGGAATGGTCCAGCCCAAGCGGGGAGAAGGCAAATGACCCCGCACAATCTGAAAAGATCAGGATGTCGTGAAGAGCGTCACCAAGCAGGTTGCTATGGGCCTCAAGTTCATCCACGACACTTTGCTTGTAAAGCTCTTCGCGCCACCGACTGTCTTCGCATTTTCTCGCGGGAAGGAGTGTTTTAATAAGGCAGCGGGTCACCCGGATTGTCAATGGCAGGCAGCAGTTTGCAAGCTAAATGCAGGTTGTGCAGGTGAAATGTAGTATTTGTCTGAGGAGAAGGACATCGTCCACCGAGACCTCAAGGCTGAGAACGTCCTGGTGGCTTGCCAGTCCAAGTACATACAACAGCGTTCCTTTGTTGACTGAATTCGTTCTGAAATTGGAAGGTGGAGTTTTGCAGCATGTGCTACAATTCAGCGTTCGAGGCCCTGGCACTGCCTGCACTAATGACCCGAGGTCTGCTCCCAGCAGCTCACTGCTCAGACCCCCGTGTGCAGCTGAGAACTTCATGCTGCAATCTTGCGCAGTTGCGTTCTGAATCATCGGTAGGTTGTTAACCCAATATATATATATATGTATAACCCCAATATATAATAGTAGTTTCCTCTTTATTTTCCATTACTTAATGGGATTGCTTCATGTTGGGGGGAAGCTGCAACATCGATGCGGCTCGCAGTTTGCGGACAGCTTCCTTCTCAAGATGCAATCCTACTAGGATAATGGAAAATCAAATGGAAACTACTACTATATATTGGGGGGTATACATATATATATATATAAATGGTCCCCCCCCCTCCAAAACCTACCGTTCACCTTTCTAGAATATGTATAGTTCCTATACAAGTTCCTATACATAGAAAATAGCCCATGCACCTACCTTTTGTATGGTACCCCTCTAGTATCCCTTCCTCCAAAACCATGCTTCCATAGTATTTCTATTTCATATATATATATAAGATAATGTATATATATATACATAGTAGGACAAAGAAAATACTGAACATATTGATATTTCAGTAAAATACTGACATTTCAGTATTTTCCAGGAACCAAGAACCAAGAACCAAGATTCCTACAAAAAATGTTTTCTAGAAATCTCGGTTCTTGGTTCTTGGTTCCTAGGAAATACTGAAATTTCAGTATTTTACTGAAATTTCAGTATTTTCCTGGAACCAAGAATGAACAACCAAGATTGCTAGAAAAAAGTTTTCTAGAAATCTTGGTTCTTGGTAATCTTGGTTCTTGGTTCTTGGGTCTTGGTTCCCAGGGAATACTGAAATCTCAGTAAAATACTGAAATTTCAATATTTTTCAGGAACCGAGAACCAAGATTCTTTGAAATTTTTTTTTCTAGAAATCTTGGTTCTTGGTTCCAGAATATTGAAATTTCGGTAAAACACTGAAGTTTGAATATTTTCCATATATATATATATAGAATACTTTTAGATAGTATCTTTCCGTATGCTATCGGCTATCAACGGCTGACTCTATTGAATTTCTTCGGGATCAAAAGACACCCCTGCAAAAAACTGGAGCCTCCAATTCTCTCAAGTCAATTGCATATCTCTTTTATCTTCATTATGGAGAAGAGACTTTTCTATTCCGTTCGGAAGACCTCAGGTTTAGTTTTACCGGTAGCCTACTTAGCGAGTTATTTGTTGCCTTGGGCTTAAAATTGTCTTTGCGCTCCTGGGCTCCTGTTCTCCTCATTTTTCTAGATATAGATTCCTTACTGTATATGCTGGAAATTTAGAATCAAATTCTCAAGTCTTAGGCTTCTTCTTCTCTTTATAAGCCCCTTTTCAGGAATATTGTCAGGGTCTCCAATGGACATTTTCGACGTCTGACACGCAGGAAGATGAGGGTTATAGAGGTAGTGGAATATATAAATCCTAATGAGAATAATGAGCCCTACGTGGAACCGTTGGTACCGAAGCTACGAAAAGTAGCGGGGGTATATCCCATGCCCTTTTTGGAGGTACAAGGATATACCACTCCCTGCATTTCGTGTAATTTCTGTCATGCAACATGTATTCCATTTTATAATATGTTCTATAAACATGATGTTACATAACATGTATTCCGTTATTTAGTATCCTTTATACATATGATGTTATGTGTTTCGAAACATGTGGCTTGTTTCGAAACAGGTGGGGTAGACCGTTGGACCATTACACCATTAAAACAATGGTTTTC